CAAAATGACAAATATTTAAATGTCATGTTTCCATCAAACTCATAATTCATCATTGATCATGTGACCACCACATTAAATGTTGTCCAGTTACCAAAACTATGAAATTGACAGATTATGGCATAATTAAAATGGATGTTGCCCCTCGGGCGTGATTTTTATTTACGTGTTTATATTGATACTTCACATGAGAAAACATATTGTTTATTTGTTGCTACTGTTTTTACTTATTTGTGTCAATGTAAGTATATTGAGTAATCAAGTAAAATGCAGATTTATCTATCATTTTTATGAACCTTGAACCATGTTTTAAGAAGAACACAAAATCATATTTAATCCATGTGTCATTGTGATACGTAAAAAGTGAGAATGTGTTATTTCTCTCCTCGGTTTTTCATAGTTCTTTCTTCATTGGACATCGATATTTGGATTTTTTCTTACCAAAAGCAATATTTGGATTTTTTTCTATTTGGAATTTTTTCTTACCAAAAGCGATATTTGGAATTTTTTCTTACCAAAAAAACTATTTACAATCGGAAGAGAGTCATTTACATCACTGATGAACCTGGGAACATGTATCATGTAGAACACAAAATCATTATAATTTAATTCATAAAAATTATGTGGATGTATAAATGTTGGCAAATATCAGTATAAGACACAAACTGTACATGTATATCAAACTTCTATATTACATTAATTATGTTACACCAAAAAACTATTGACAAAGCCTAAGGACCTTATTTGATAATATACATAGTACTTGTCAAATCTTAAACTTTTTTGACATGACTTAATTATATCAATTCTTCATTCTCTTGGCCAATTTAAAATAAAATTATAAATCACCAACTTACAAATTGTCATTTGCAACATGTGTACATTAATAATATTAATAGTAATTTAAAAAATAATCACACTTTCTGCCATTCAGCATCTATTGACACAACATTAGATATACATGTATATGGTAAGTCTTATAATGCCCCAGGTCAGTGCCTCTTAACATATGGACACATTTTCTATTTTCTCCTATAATTTTTGTATTTTCAGCTTGTAAAGCTATAGACAAAGAAAATTTCTTTCAAAGCAGAATCTTTGATGGCTGATATGTGCCATTCATGTTTTTTGCCCAACACCCCGCCAAGCAAAAAGTCAAGAATGAGCAAGTTAAAATGGCGGGGGGGTAGATCGAAAACACATATAAGCAGGGTCACCGGGCACAAAAGTTAAGATTTTATTTAATAAGGTGGGGCTGCAAAGCGAAATATTCATTGTTTTAGGACCCTTACAAATTTTTCGTAGAAAAAAGCTTGACTTTTCTCTCCACTCCCCCGTAATTAGCGTGTTTTTGCTTCGCACCCACATCATTCTAACTGGCATTAATTTTTGACAAAATGCCTGGCAGGTTCGCGGGGGGCAAAAACACAACATGGCACAAAACAGCCACCATAAGAATCAGTCCCGTTTAAAGCAGGCCGAGTCCAATATGAAGCTTGCAAAGTGCAATATATAGAGGATACTGAATGATTGTAAGTTTAATACTGAATTTATTGAACGAGTTAAATAAAATTATATTATGCGAGCCTCTGGCCAGCATAATATTATTTTATTCAACGCGTTCAATAAATTTAGTAATAAACTTACATGAATTTGATATTCTATTTATCACAGACCAAAAATAAAGACAGTTTAAAGTGATAAAGAAATATTTTTCATTGACGCGCCTATAGTATATATGCTAACATTTAGAGCGTCTTAACGCTATGTTTATAAACGCAAATGACATCACATAAAAATATACGCACGGCTGTGCAATACCATCGGCACATGTGTGTGTGATAAAAAGCAAAATACGTCAGATTCAAAGATGGACCAGTCTAACAAAGACATGACAGTCGACCAGTCAAGTCCAAAGCTGCAGATCAGGCCAACTCAAAACAGGACCATTTTGATACAAAATGGGACCAGGCTCCATTTCTGAGGACATTTGTGGAGAGAGAATTCAATTTCAGCAGAAGTCAAAACATACTTTACCTTTCAATTTTGTGAATCTTTTTGTTGGAACTGGTTTTTTAGTAGGAAGCAACACATTGTTGGTGAAATCTTTCTTGTTGACAGGTGTGTACATATTTTATAGTCCTATGCTGGCTATGCAAATTATTTCACACAAAAGCTAAGTTTTTGTCTATAGTATTAAACACTAAAGATACACAAAAAGGAAGTGATTCTAATTTGAGTTCATAATACACTATCTTCTATTAATCAAACAATGTTCATTAATAAAAAAAATTAAATGCTTCACATATTCGGCAGCAATTGTTGCATAAACAAATCCTTTTCATTCCATTTTCCTATCTTTTCATCATTTTTTTTTACATTAACAGTTTTGAAAAAAAAAATAAAATTAGTACACACACATGAACATTTCAAGCTGATAATAAAAATCAGGAACTATATATATATTTTATCAAACTTGACCCCATTTTCCTTGTTAGGGTAATCTTTGTCGTCTGTCAATGTTAAACATAAAGCCATAAAAATTCCCCTAAAATACACAGTAAACTTCTTGATTATATTAACAACATTATTATTGCAATAACAATAGTGATAACCAACACGCCTACTGCATGACAATAAGATGTTGTACTTTAGAAATATCTAATACATATCTATAATTTTCTATGTATTAATGTTATCATGGGCAATCTTTTATACATGTATTTTACAATTTTCCTCTTTATTTATCTTTGAAAATTTCAAGGAGGCCCCACAGTAAAAATATTTAAGCACTGTCTCACACTGATTCATGTTGTTTTTTTTTTTAATTTTTTTTTTTTTAAATTTTTTATAACATTTTTATATTTATGTTCCTCTACCTCATTAGCACACACAGAAGAACTTAACTTTATTTGGCTGTGGCGAGATGACCTGCGATAAGGAGGTTTTCCCAGTTTTATTAATATTGTTACCCTGAAGGCTCCTGTTGCAATTCATTGTAAAAATTATATGAGCCATGTCATGACAAAACTCATTAACTGGGCAAATTATTACTTTTGCAGCATAAATCATCTTAAAGGGCCTCAAATTAAAAGAAAGATTATAAATCAACGTTGAAATACTACACTGGAGTAACTCATTAATCCTTTCAACACAAGTTACGCCAATTTTGCAAGAAACTTTTGATCGACTGTTCTTCTTCCTGGTCCCTATCTTAGCAAGACAACAATCTGCACCGTCGTCATTGATTTCATATTAAGTGTGCTTCAGAATCTAATGTTTTTAAGTAGTTACCAAATTATCTAAGTGGAGAGTTAAAGGAATAAAATAAGGATTTAACTTTAAAATATACAGATGTGATACATCGTGATGTCATAACATAATTTAACCTCAGGGACAGAAAGATTTTTAGTCCCAGATTAAACTAAATTTGCGACAGACATTTTGATAAACCCTCTTAAAGTTAATTACACAAGTTATGTACCTTAAGGAAGAAACTAGAACTCCGCGAGTTGGATGTGTCGCCTTGTGAACAATATAGTTTAAGAGAAATGGCAAAGACAAAAATGAAATTTGAAAATCAACAAAGGGCAATAACTCAAAAAATAAGAAATGCAGATCAGCAGTTTCTGTGCACTGCACTTCTTATCAATAAAATCTCCCATCCCATTTAGATTCAAGTCTAAAGCTTTTATAATTTATGAGAAATGGCCTGGACAAAAATAAAGTATGAAAATTAACAAAGGGCAATAACTCAAAAAATAAGAAATGCAGATCAGCAGTTTCTGTGCACTGCACTTCTTATCAATAAGATCTATCATTCTATTAAGTTTCAAGTCTAAAGCTTTTATAATTTATGAGAAATGGCCTGGACAAAAATAAAGTATGAAAATTAACAAAGGGCAATAACTCAAAAAATAAGAAATGCAGAGAACCAGTTCTTGGGCACTGCACTTCTTCTTAATGAGATCTATCATCCTATGAAGTTTCAAGTCCATAGCTTTTATACTTTAGGAAAAATGGCCTGGACAAAAATAAAGTATGAAAATTAACAAAGGGCAATAACTCAAAAAATAAGAAATGCAAAGTACCAGTTCTTGTGCACTGCACTTCTTTTTAATGAGATCTATCATCCTATTAAGTTTCAAGTCCATAGATTTTATACTTAAGGAGAAATGGCCTGGACAAAAATAAAGTATGAAAATAAACAAAGGGCAATAACTCAAAAAATAAGAAGTACAGAGTACCGGTTCTTATGCACTGCACTTCGGGTCATTATGAGAAGCAAGCATACCATGTTTGAAGTTAATCCGACTTATAATGACTGACTTATGCTCCGGACAAGCTTTAGCGGACGTCGACGCCAACACCGACAACGTCGCCGACACCGCCGACAAAAGTAACCCCTTTATGTCGCCTTTTTCAAGGCGACACAAAAAATGACACTTAATGACAAAAAGTTTTGAAAAACTGTCTTTAGCACGCCCGGCGACTACTAATGCAAACAATAAAGACCTTGATCAGCCGACGCATCCAAACTGAATGATTACGGACGGTCTAAACACAATCTGTAGTGCAGTAGTTTATAAAATAAATGGATGATTGTATGTAGTAAGCATCACTTTAAATGTACATGTACACTTTCATCAAAATAAATGCAAAATTTAAGGTCATTTGCTCATTCCGTTTTTCCTGAAAAATTATTCTAATTGTGAAAAAATGACCCAAAATTGAAAAGCTTTGAAATAAAATTGCACAAAATTACAAGTTCTTATTCATTTCTGTGTATATTTCTTTATTAATTTTGCACATCTTTCTGTTTAAAGTGCCTGACAGCTGATTTATGTAAGAAATACAAAATATCGTGTTTTTAGGCTTTTGGATTTTGGATTTTGTAGTGGAGTTCCTTTAAATCAGCAGGATATCATATATGGTTGTCCTTGGCAACATCTCACCTAAACATTTGGTATACTGAGACTAACATATAAACACAGATCACTCACCGTCATCATCATAGTCACTGTCAAATTCATTATCACTCCATGCATCGTCATCGGACGCATCTCTGTCATCTGAAAAAAAAAACAAAACAGTCAAATGTTTACAAGTCAGTTACACATAATAATAGTATTGTTTGGTTTTATTAACCTGTCAATTACATACTGGTTACACGGTGGATGCACACAGTATGTTAATCTTCCGTAGATGTTCGGAAAGTTCCGTGAGATGTACGCTGTACGATAGAATTTAATTTAATTTGTATCTCTAAACTAAGTGTACTCAGCGTTACGGCGCAATAGGGTAAATTACGAGTTTATAATCTAAGTGCCACACGTGTTTTAAGGTAGCTCGCTACTTTCCGACCGAAATTTGACAACATCTCAGATCTTGATGATTTTTTGTATGCAAACTTATAGATATGTGAGCTTTACTTGCTGCAGTATTATTTTAATAAATAAACAGCGTTTACTATGACGTCAAAGCGCCCTCTATCGGTGGCGGCGAAATTGCGTCTTTTCTCAGTAAACCAAGTCTGTTCATAATCAGATTTTCAATCCGATTTCCTTCGTTTTAATTTATAAATGTTCAGTAAATGTAATGTCTTTGTAATGATAATCTTTCTTTAACATTTACTTAATAGTCTGCGATTCTACGTATTTTTCTCTACATTCTAACGTCCATATCTGATGCAAATACCACGATGCGATATCGCAATAAAGATTGTGTAATAAAAAAAATTCAACACGGTGAACTTTCCTATAAATTTTTGAGGCGTGTAGCGAGAAAGTGAAGGAAAAATATTTATGCAATAAAAAATATAGGGTCAACAGCGTAGATATTTTGCTATTACTGTTTTAAAAATAAAATAAAGGGAATGTAACGTAATGGTTTTGGTGGCGTTAATAGACCTTGGAGTTCAAAGAAATAATACCCTAATAACAATTTCTTACGTCAAACATCGATTGTAAGTATAAACAAACAGGAATTGTGAAATGTATATTTTGTAAAATTGTTGATTATTCTCTCATTGAAGCAATGCGCTAGAAATCAACCAAATTTAAAATGTTTAATCGTAAATACGTTTCTAATTTGCAGGACGCAGTCTCAAACATCTTTTAATTTTTTATTTTATATTTTGATGTTTGTAATGAAAGAGTGAAAAAGTGTTATATTTATTACATGAATTAACTAGTTTTCAGCGCAAAAAAAAAATAATAATTTTAAAAATAAGATTCACATATTGCTGTATGAATGAAGCTAAGAATATTAGGTCGCTTAGTTTACCCGGTGAAGAATATTTATTTTAATGTTTACATTAAGTTTTTAAACACTTTCATAAAAATCACATATCAGTCAGACGAGCCTCGGTGTCAAAACACACGTAAAAATGCAATTTAAAATAGATATGCATATCAAATGTGCAATAAGTGATCAATTTAAATTCAGAAATAATATTCAAATATGTAAGAATATTTTAAAAAAACAAACTGTACAAGAAACAAAAACATTTATTTTTGCTTACCATTTTTAAGTATGTGCAATACATAGATTATATAATTATAATCCTAATTAAAATGTCAGATTAGAAAATGACAAACAAAAAAACTTTTTGGACTCGGATTTTACGTATACCTACTTACCCGCTTTTCATTACAGTATAACAAAGGCGGCCCCCTAAAAATATTATTTATTTCTAAAGGGCTCCACTACATTTTACCTTGTAGGGCAACAAAGGGCATTCTCTCTGTAGATGTTTTCCTGTTTATTTTAATTAAATACAAAATATAATTTATTAAATAACTTGTGCAACTTTTGTTACCACTGAATAGCGATTAGTATTATGTTGACGTTATCGTGTTCATTTTTTAATACAATACAGTTTGCTTTAAAAAAAAAATAGAAAAAAACAAAAACAAAACGAAAACACACACCACAAACACGTTTTATGATGCAAACAAATAAAGTGGACTTCTGCCTATTAAGGGATGATCAATCAGGTTTTTAACTTTGAATATTCTGTAACGGGTAAAGTGGTCTTACGCTGAATTCGGAGGAACGATTGCGTATTGTACTAATAGATTATTCTTTAAAATTGTTTACTGTGTATGAAATGTTTTCAAGGTCCACTCGGACTCCTGTCATTTTTTCCGTAGATAATTTGATACTGTGAGAAAACACTGTTTTGTTAAATTCCCCTCAGCTATAATTTGAAATACTGTTGAAACGGCGTTAAACCATATATTAAAAATAAGAAGATATAAACACAAAATGCATAGTTTCATTTCTTTTCATAGGGCTTACATAGCACTGTATTATGTGGCAACAAAAAAGCTTTCCGAAAAAACCTATTCAACGAATTGAGGATCCTACATGATCGCTTCAATACAAGGGAATCTATTAAATTTTAATATGCAAATTAATCCGCTTATGAACATACAAAATAAATCAACGGATCTTTCGCCTCGAATCGAGAATGATCGGGCTTCAGGTCGCCTTAAAGAATGCGCTAGTAAAAACGCATACCGCGAGTCAGCGAGTTTTAAATAAATAACAGAATATCTGTAATTATGTGAAATGCGATGGAAATTCAAGCATAGCATGAAGAAACGTGATTCCTTCCTTTAAATCTGAGTCCACACTTAGTGCAGGGATATTTTTTAACTAGTATTTACTGCGAGAGAAATAGATAACTGATGGCTGTTAATAAATGAGCGTGTCACGACAAAACCCAACATACTGTTTTCGCTTTTAAACATTTTAATAAGTAGAGAAACTGGATAGCGAACAGAAATAGGAGATCCTGATCAGACTGGCGGCGGATGCGCAGGCTGGTCTGGATCCATGCTGGTCGCAAACGCACTATGTTGGTTTTGTCGTGACGGCGGCTCCAAATAAAGTTTTATACGAGGTAGAAAAGTTTTTAAAATAAATGTCTGCTAGATTTTACATAATTAAGACTACCAGTGAATCATGACTTACGTAACAAATCGCTTGTTACTTCGAGGGTTGATAATACATTTTTAAAAACGTAAATTTGATTCAGTTCATAACTAACTGTATATTAGTAACAATTCGAAATGTTACATACGTATGATAACATGGAAGTTTATGTAGTACCCGAGATACACATAACATGATGACACTTGCGACTGCACCAGCCTTTTCATTCTTTTTTTCTGAAATTCTTTGCAAAAGTTATGTTTGTATTATTTCACTTAGGTGGCCTTTAAAATTGTCTTTCAGTCCTCGAGGTATTTATAAACCATTCGTTTCAGTTTTTTTAGAGATTGATACAAAACTTTTGCAGACAGCCATACCCTGATTTGTTTGTACATGTATATAATTGAAGTTGTTCATCGAAATGCGGGCACCTGACAGGACTTTTTTAAAAGAACATTTTACGGAATATGTCTAAATAACAATTGTTGTTGATGGTTTTCACACATTTTAATTCCAGTCAGTATACTATTCATCGGAAAAGTCGTGACAATTTACTTGAGAAAAATATTTGACGTCACCAAAATCATTACGTTTTTACTCATCCCTTATCTTATATTAAAATAGTAATAGCAAAATATCTTACGCGTTGACCCTATATTTTTATTGCATAAATATTTTCTTTCATGAGTTCACTACATGTTAAAAAAAATATAGCAAAATTCACCGTGTTGATTTTTTGTTATTTTACAATCTTTATTGCGATATCGCGCGATATTTGTATCATAAATGGACGTCAGCATGTAGAGAAAAATGACGTAGAATCGCAGAGTATTAAGCAAATGTTAAAGAAAGACATTATTTCAAAGACATACATTTACTGAACATTATAAAATTAAAACGAAGGAAATCGGATGGAAATTAATAAGAACAGACCGGTTTATTGATAAAAAAGACGCAATTTCGCCGCCACCGATAGAGGGCGCTTTGACGTCATAGTAACGCTGTTTATATGTAAAATAATGCTGCAGAAGTAAAGCTTACATATCTATATTTATGTATACCAAAAATCATCAAGATCTGAGATGTTGTCAAATTTCGGTCGGAAAGTAGCGAGCTACCTTAAGTTCGAGGCCACGTTGGTCCATGTTTTTTTCTTATTAATACTTTCAACATTATTCAATCTATATATAATTATTTTATGTTGTTCGTTTTGTTTGATTATGTTTTACTTAATTTTGTTATATACTCTTATTAAATAACATGTTTTTTTTAAAAATTTATGTTTAAAATTAAAACAGATTAAAATCAATAAATGTCATTTCAATGCCGTAAAACACACTACAAATCTGTTCTATTAAAATATACTGCAAAAATAAAGAAAGAGTACTAAAAAAATGGCAACAGTATGGATCGAACCACAGACCTCTCAATTATCAGGCATTCTCTTTACCGACTGTCCTATTGTGAATTAACGAAAACTTTCACATTAAGCTGGCGTGACTTTCAATCGATGACTTATATACTCCACATTAATTCTCATAAACTACACGGACCAAACCGAAGTGGGATCGAATATTTAAATGAGTCCTATAATGTATTCAAAATTGACAGGTCAATAAAATCAGACTATACAGACACAGAAAATGAGCCGCACCATGACAAAACCAACATTATGGGATGGATGCAGACCAGCCTGCGCATCCGCGCAGTCTGATCAGGATCCATGCTGTTTGCTATCAGTTTCTTAACTTGTTCTAGGGTTTGTAAGCGAACAGCATGGATCCTGATCAGACTGCGCGGATGCACAGGCTGGTCTGAATCCTTGCTGGTCGCAAACCCGTTATGTTGGTTTTGCTCAAATAGTTAATCAAGTATGTCATCCAAAGCATCTAACGGCCAGGTGATTTTCTTACAAAGACTTGTCCAGCTTCTATTTTTTTTTTTAGTTTTAGAGTATAAGGATGAAAACTTTATACATGTATATAAAATGAGAACTTTTGAACAGTTTATCAGCTAACAGTTTAGAGCCTGGTCAGAATACATGCACAGATAATGGTCTGGCTCTATACTGGTGGCTACAGTTAATCTCTTTTGGATCCTTCAGCAGGGGTTATGTTAAACCTAAAGAGTTTAGGCTTTGTAGGCTGCTTGCAAGTCTATGTAGTCTTACCAAGTTCTTAGCTGTTGGCTGACTTACTTCAAATTTTCATCCTGACAACCCTAAAACTGTTAATGGACAGTCCAAAAATTGAAAACTGGACAAGTCCATGAAAGAAATTCAGCAGACTAAGGGGTTAGCTAATCTTTTAATAATTAAAAATCATGTCACTAAAGACTGCATAGAATGCCATAGAATGTCAACAAACAAGAATATTGGTAACAGGACCAATGGATGTTCCTTGCTGTCATTTTGGAAAAGTTAAAAACATGATTTTGCTGTATGAAGAAATGTTGAAAACCTCAGTGACATTGAAATTAATTAGGCGAAATCTTACTCAAAAGGAAGAGGTTTGGATTTCAAAAACCACTCCTTTAATCTCTATGAAATATTTTGATTGCAGATAACTTGTAAATTTTTCAGGCATAATAGGTTTGTTTTCATTTTTGTTGAATGGTAGCAAAATAATTCCAAGATCATATTAGGAAGTGATGTTCCTATTGTCGCAAGTCGCCGATAATCAGTTACTGTTATGTGAAACAACAATAATAGTCACAAAAATTTGTTCCGCGACGTCGTCGAAAATGTTTAATGTATCAAAGGGAATTCATTCTGACGGAAATTTTCTTTTAGGAAAACCTCGCCGATCACAAAAATCACTCAGAGACAATTTGGAGTTAAACAGGATAAATAACAGTTACTGATGTACACAATTGTAATATAATTTGATGTGAATGGTATTATTTGACATCCATTGATAAATAAAATCTATTTCGTAAAATTATGACTATATAAGGCTAAAACTGTGTTGAAAAGTGCAAAATGAAGTTCATGTTACTAAATATAAACAAGTGCCTTGGTAAGAAATGTTACTTCCCTATTTCTTTTTAACGCGACTTTATTCGAAAGTTATTGATTATAATGTCCCATCCGACTGAACCAATGATCGATTGGGACAAATTTCATCCGATTTCCATCACTAATATTAGGTGCATTTCAGGTAAGTTTAACGTGGCTGACTGTATTCTTCATTCACTATTAAAATTCCAACAAAATTTTCCAACTCTATACATAGAAGACCAAAGATTCCCCTGACCGTTTATATTTTCAGTTAGACATAAACACTGTAACAAAGTAAAGAGCTACCAATATTCTAAAATCTAGCCTGCGAGGACCAGAATTTTATGTCTAAATGGGATTCAATTTTATATACTGCCTTGAATATGCAAGTGATTAATTAGTTATTATTAATTAATTATTAAAATTAGCAAGGGTTGCAGTCTATAAAGTACAGCATTAACCTCGATACACGTCAAACACAATTGCATGTTGTGCAAGATGATATCTATAATATTATACAATAAGAAAATCATTCTACAAATATTGAACTTTCACTTTTTCTGTACATTAAATGAGGCTTATTATGCCAGTGGACCACCCAACTCAATCAGTAACTGGGCTGTGTGCCAAATGGCCTTAGTCAGTCTATTGACTTTCTATGCAGCCTAATCTTTAATCTAAATATTGACAAAGGGAGGCAACTCAAAATATTGCTCTTAAAATTATTAAACTCTAGTTATCTTTCTTGAACTCCCTTTGTAAAAAACACGTGAAATTCTCTATATGATTGTTTGAGAGAATGAAATTAGGATTTCCTAAATAAACTTGTTGACCTCCACATAAACAATGGTACTTGTCAACTTCTTACAGCAGGACAATAAATGTCCACTTTATTTTTGTTATATCAGAATATATGTTTTTTTTTCAAGTAGAAAAGCAAGTTGGAATACAGAGCATAAATTTTTCATTATTCAATGAATATAATTATGTCCACAGCAATTAATCACCTAGATAGTTTCATTTAAGCATGTTTATTTTAGCTTGATTACGAAACAAGTTCTTGCAACATATATAAATCACTTCTGAGTCCCTCCCCTTCCTATAGCTAAACAGTACTAAAGTCATATAAGGAAACATGGTTATGACCCGAGTAGGGCTCAAACCCAAGATTCCAGGGTTGAGAGGCAGACATCTAGTTACCTAGTGGTTGTTGTATTACATAATTCACATTGATTTATAGCAGATTTGGGGTATTGTTCTGATGTAAGGAACTCTTTCATTAAAACAGTAAGTATCTGACATAGCCTATGTCCACAGCATTAAGTATCAGACATAGGCTATGTCTACAACATTAAGTATCAGACATAGCCTATGTCCACAACATTAAGTATCAGACATAGCCCATGTCCACAACATTAAGTATCAGACATAGCCTATGTCTACAACATTAAGTATCAGACATAGCCTATGTCTACAACATTAAGTATCAGACATAGCCTATGTCCACGACATTAGGTATCAGACATAGCCTATGTCTACAACATTAAGTATCAGACATAGCCTATGTCCACGACATTAGGATTCAGACATAGCCTATGTCCACAACATTAAGTATCAGACATAGCCTATGTCTACAACATTAAGTATCTACAACATTAAGTATCAGACATAGCCTATGTCTACAACATTAAGAATCAGATATAGCCTATGTCTACAACAGTATTATCCAATGATTGTACATTTTCAGCAAGCTAATATTTTGATGATTTAACAAAAAAAATTTTAATGTTCCATTTCTGGAGAAGTGCTTGTACCAATTTAGGATTTGTTGTATGGAGTATAATGTAACAAGATGTAAGTGGTATTCAAAAGCATCCCAAACATTTTCAAAAGTAACTCAGTGCATTGCTTAAAAACAAATTTTGTCTATTTTTGCCATTAATGAAATGTATGATACCTAGTTTCCTCAGTACTTCAGTAGGTATTGTTAATCTCATATTACAGGAACATAAATCATGAAACTGGCATAATGATTGTGAAAGATGCAGAAATTTCATAGGACCACTGGCATCTTAATACAACTCTAGACAATGTTACACGTGTTGTGATACATTTTTTTCTGTGAATATTTAAATACCATTAATTTTCTTACCTTGATGATGATGGGCTTCATTAAATGGCACTTGTCTCTGGTTGCTACGGTTACCATATCCTCCTCCTCCAGTTCTACAAATAATAATATATAGAATTCATTTTCCGAAATTAACACTACTTGCACCTGTAGCCTATACAGGCTCCTCCCCCCAACCCTAAAAAAAGTCACCCCCTCCCATTTACTTCATCATTTTGATTCATGTTCCTTTTCCAAAGCACAAGACCTGCTATGACTTAAGAACCTTACAATTATATGGAACCTTGGTTTTACTTCTTTGTATTGCAAAACATTTCAATAAACAAAGCACTGGTCCTAAATCATTAGGCTTTACTTCTGGAATGTGTTGGCAGCTTAATAAAAACAATCAGACTCAAAGACCTCAGTTATTTGTTTCTATGATTTCCTTCCAATTAAGTTTGATTGTATGACTTTTAACCATTTGAACAATTTTAGTAGAGCTTCATGCTCAGATCATCCCAGGAAAATTTCATCACATTCGGCCCAGTGGTTTCTGAGAAGAATGGTTTGTATAAAAAGTTGACGAAGGACGCACTGACGGACGATGGACCATCACAAAAGCTCACCTTGAGCACTTTGTGCTCAGGTGAGCTAAAAATTTAAAGTTATTGGGTCAATAGTACAATATGAGAGAATATTGATAAGCTGTCATAGCTTTCTGCCCAAATCCCAAAATGTATTGTGTAAATATTGTTCAAGCATAAATAATTATGTTTAAACCTAAAGGATCGGAATATCCCGTTGAAAGACAGTTGCAGTCCATGGACAGGAACCTGAGAGACGGATATTCCAATCTAAACTACAAAACTTATCTCAGATCCTTTTTTTTGCATTATGATACAATTCTGCCACATTCTATCTAAAACTGCTCATCTCAAGAAAATATTCATTCATGGAAGTTAAAGTCATTTCAACCATAACTATTTTCTTACAATAGCCTATCAAAACGTCAAAATTGTATCATCTTAGGCACATAGTTTTATTCTTAAATTAGGAGAAAGGCAGTTCAATCATAAAATGTACTAAATGATGTCATTGTATAGCACGTGACTGGTCAGCCCATCCCCCCCCCCCCACCCCCCATGCCAGATGAAGATTAAATTTCCTGCACTGGTAGAGTGGTAGATGTATAACTTAGTGGAAACACCAGTCTGATATGCAAGAAAATGTTTCAACTGTATGCAGTTTGCATTGCCTGTGATATAAATATGTGTCATTAGATAAGTCACTTTCATTAAGGATATTAATGATGAAAACAATGTCCTAACATTTATAACTTATGCAATAAACATCCACAATGCCTTGAACTTGGACTTTCTATTAATTCACTGGATTTCAATCAAACTTTTTAAAACTGATTAACCCAGCAGTAAAGTCTTGAACTTTAAGCCTGCTGGCGTCATCAGATTCTACCCAATTACCACCATGCAGACCAACATCTCAAGGTCCACATTGTTCACATATCAGTCAGTACATTTTTTAAAATTTTCCATAAAAATAATGAATGGTTTTGTTCAAACTGAAAGACCAACAAGTCCATGTAAAGATATTTAGTGTCGTAAATACTAAACTGACGGTAAACGCCTTATACTTTCAATATACTTTGCGTTTTACCTTTAAAACAAGAACGTGTTTGTTAAACACAAATGCCCACGGCTCAGATTCTTGTCAGTAGCAATATTTCAAAAAATTTTTACCCATTCACTCAGTTATGGAAAGACAAATTGCCAAAAAATTGTAAACACAAGTTATATAGCTTGACAAAGTCATGGCATTTTGTAATTGTGAAAAATATAAGTTGCCAAGTCATTGTTCTGACTTGTGAAGTTGAAAAATATTCAACTTTATCCTACCAAATATGAAATATATCTGTCATTACATAAAGGCTGTATGGGCAAAAGTGTAAAAATCTATTTTTAGCACTGGTGACCTTAACCAAACTGACCCCTAACTCTATCCAAAAGAAGAATATCATGTAAGTTATCTTCCTACCAAATATGAAATACATCTGTCTATAAATAAAGGCTGTATGGGCAAAAGTGTAAAAATCTATTTTTAGCACTGGTGACCTTGACCCAACTGACCCCTTACTCCATCCAAAGGAAGAATACTATGCAAGTTATCTTCCTACCAAATATGAAATACATCTGTCAATAAATAAAAGCTGTATGGGCAAAAGTATAAAAATCTATTTTTAGCACAAGTGACCTTGACCCACTGATCCCTTTCCCAATAAAAAGGATGAATACCATGTAAGTTATCTTCCTACCAAATATAAAATATATCTGTCACTTAATAAAGGCTGTATGAGAAAATGTGTAAAAATCTGTTTTTAGCACTGGTGACCTTGACCCAACTGACCACTAACTCCATCAAAGTTTATGTTTCTATCAATTATAAATAACATCTGTCTATAGAATAAGGTCAATACACCTGTAAAAATGTAAAAATCTATTTTTAACATTGGTGACCTTGACATTGGTAACATTGACCTTGACCCAAATGACCCCTTACTACACCCAAAGAAGGAGGACCTCCCTTGGCATGTTTGTATTAAACTAAGACATCAACTAAAATATAAAGGCTGTATGAGCAAAAATGTTTATTTTTTAACCTTTTCCCTTATATAAGCGTGTTTCGACGGCTTTTTGCCCCCCCCCCCTTTTTGAGGCCTCAAACAGTGAAAAAATGCCCTATTTAGGCCCCAAACACTGTCTTTTGTTTAAGAAATGTTGTTAAAAAAAGTGACCATTTTTTCGGCGCCGTCCCCCATCCAAATATTACATCAGGGGGTTGCCAGAAGGGGGATGTGCCCCCTTCTGTTTGGGGGGTTTGAAGGGGGGCAGAGTCCCCCTCATCGCCAAGAAAATTTTGGACTTGTGAGAGGCTTAAAATGACCCCAGGTCGATCATAAGGTAACGTGTAACCAACGCTGAAAAGCCTTTGACTCTATCTCAATCCCTTGAGAAGTTGCAGCACTTTGAAATAAATTTTGATGGAAAAAATCGAGGCAAAAAAGTGATTTTTGGCAATTTTGAGATGTCCCCTCGTTGCCATGGTAACAGGAAATTTAAGACTGAGCATGTCGTTACAAAGGCAATGGTCCAGTCAACATTTGTGCCAAGTTTGATTAGTATTGAAGCATTTTTCATAGTTTTATAGCAGTTTGAACTTGTAACAGGAGGCTTTTCAGTGAAAATGGCCATTTTTCACAATATGCTCATGGGGGAAAGGGTTAAACCAGTGACCTTGACCTTGAACCTAGAGACCGCTTACTCCACAAAAAATTAGAGGACCATCAAAGGTACCCACCTACTAAATATGAAAGATATCATTAAAGAAATTAAGCGATTGGGAGAAATTTAAGATAAATCCAACTTGCCTAAATTATAAGGTTAACCAGACAAGGCCCTATTTTCAAAGTGAAAAAAGGGAAATAACTGGGAAATATGGATGACACAGTTATATAACTTGGCAATATCATGTACTTTGTATTGATAAGTAAGTGTGGAAATTATAAAGCCATTAGTATAGATAGAACTTAAGATATTTCCTACTTGCCGTTTTAGGTTAACCATTATTCATTTTCTAAGTGCTGAAAAGGGCAATAATTTGGTAAAAATGAAAGCCAGAATTATGTAACTTGCCCAGATCATGTACTTTGTATTGATTAGTAAGTGTGTAAACTTTAAAGCCATTGGTACAGGTAGAACTTAAGAAAAATCCAACTTGCCGTTCTAGGTTAACCTCGTACGGACAGACAGACGGTTCAATCACTATATGCCCGCGGGCATAAAAACATTTTATTTAGAGTTTTTTTGTCAACAGTAATGCATTAAAAATTCAGAAACCTGCATTATTTAGTTGCAAGTTTCTAGTTTATTTTAGAACATTATCAACATAAAAAAGGGAAATAACTTTGTCAAAATGCAATTCAGAATTATTAGACTTGGCCTTCCAAGTGTCTGCAATATTTATAACATGTTTGAAGCATGCTTACTCAAATTCAGTACATTTCTTTAGATTTTGACAATAAAACCCCTAAAACTCACATAAGAATGGTCCAAAATTTGAAGTAGGACAAGTCCATTATACGAATTCAGGTTGGTAAGGTATAATTGTTCATTAATATGCATCTTCTAATCTACAGCTGTTGCTTTTAGCAAATTTGATACAGTCTGCATTGATTTAATGATACATATCAATATGGCAGTTGCTATTTTACACTGTGTACTTTCTTACTGGCTAGATTTTTGCCTATATTGTCAATTTTACATACCTTTTCAAATAACAACAAATCAACTCACAAATAATTTACAATTGGCTACAGTAGCATAAAGGGAAAATAAGAAATCTTTTATTCACTATGTGCACATGCAAATGCTATTATGTGGCCTTTTAAAAAATATCACTTGCACAAACAGTAGCTAGTATGTGTGCATGGGGTAGTATAATGTGGCCACATGTGCAATGTTTAGTATGTGCACAAATGATAGTATTATGTAGCCACACATGCAACTGGTAGTATGTGCACATTTAACAGTATTATGTGGCCACAAAATACCTTTAAGGATACACATGAAAGCCATAACCCTGCCACACGCTATGCTTTATATTTTATACCTATTTCTTGGCCATGTAATACTAATGTGTGTGCATGTGATACACATCACTTGGCTTATAATGTCAAACCTATCATGTGCGCATATAAATACTATCATGTGGCCTGTATAATGCACTACTGTCTAGTTCACACAATATTATAAGCTATCCCAGTCCCAAGCTGTAAATTAATAAAGAATTTCCTATGTCTTTATTATACCACAGAAAAAGGCTCTATATTATGAACATGGTCCCAAAAAATAAAATTTTACTTGCAAAAATGAACATTGTTCTAAAGAAAAAAAATCATTTGCATTAATTGATATGCATGACATAAGTAGTGATTGCATGATTGTACAATGTATAACAGTTGGTTCTCAGAGACGTGCAGGAATGTGTGTTCTTGAAAATATGGCCTAGTATAAAGTAGCATTTTTGAATAATGGTATAT